TACAGATAAGATGATGTCGGGGTAATAACACAGTTAAATTTTTTCCATGCAAAAATGTGGCATACGGTGTCTGTTTTAATTTTTAGCAAAATTTTCAATGATCCATAATTGGAGTATTATTTTTATGATATGTTCAATTCTTTCAAAGAGATTAGATTTGAAAAGAATAAAATAGTTTGTGTTTTCTAGTTCCTTCACAGTACTCAACTCAAATTTTTTGTTTCAGCTGATTTTTGTATAGGCCATCAAAAAGTGTACTCTCGAATGATAAATCGAACGATATTTATAGGATAACTATTGAATTATTTTTGGATCGACTTTCTCTAATTATTAATCAGGTGAATTTTGCTAAATCATTTCTTGTCAAATCTTTAAGAACTCCATTTTGTTTCACATCTGTCGCCAATGTTTCATCAATACATAGAAACATTTGAAAAAGGAATATCTTTTAAAATTGAAATAATTCGGCTTTTCTCTAGTTTTAAAAAGATCTGCTCGAGTTTAAATCTGTCATCCAACAACGTTGAATAACTATGAATGTAGTTTCATTAGTATAATTTTGACTTATTCAAAATTAAGAATCTTGATCATTGAAGTCTGTCTTAGTCAATATCATCGATGATGTTTAATTTTTCATAATTTTATTATTAAAATCAAGCATAAAAAATATCAAACTATACGATTACGCCAAAATAAGTTTGAACTGCTCGCCTTCAATCATTAATATTATCCGGAATCCTTGTACTATCCAGATTAGTGATCAATATTCATTGTTCGACTTCGTCTAAATATGCTTGTTAATATAATTGTTGTTTGTTTCAATATTTCATTGTATTAATCTCTTTAGTAGATGTTTTTTCTTTTAGTAGATCAAAAAAGATAAATATCGGTGAAACTTTAAGAATTTTATTTCTATAATTTATAGAATTTAACAAAAAATAGATAATTCTATTTTTTTCTCGTTAGATGGATTATGCTATAATTTTTTTTTGACAAGAATATTTTCTATATTATTTTGTTAAAATTGAGCATTGATTGAACGATAATAAAGATTTTTCATGAATGTTTTTTTAAATTATTCATCCTTTTAAAAAATGTAATAATATCTTAAAAATGAAACTCATTCTATGAGAAAAATAAGTATTTTTAAACGCTCAAAATTAATGAGTTTTCTATAAGATTGTAACATTTTATAAATTCGATTCTATCATTGCTAGAAAACAAACGAAATTTGTTAAGTGTTGGAGAAAAACTTTTCGAAATAATTTCTTGAATATTTTAAATCAAACTTCAAATTTTTTTTATCGTCAATATTTTTTAACGAATAAAGGAAATTTCTTCTAATACAGGAATAAGAATTTCGATAAATAATTGTATATGATGTAAATTTTAGTAATTGTGTAAGAAGTGGAAAAAGCAGAAGAAATAATATTGTGCTTATTTCTTAATGAAATCTTCAAATGTAACTTGTTGAATAATTGACAGAGATTAATTGATAAGTTCTTGTTGATCTTCAATATCATACAATCTTAATAAACAAAAATTACTAAAATCAGAAATAGATGGTGATAACATTTGTCGAAAACATTAAATCTATTGATAGGATGTGGGTATCAGCGTGTATATTCTCTTTGACCACACACACATCCACATCCTCAATCAATAGATAATTGTGATTTAAAACATTTGTAAAAGATCTTCTCCAATGAGTTATTTTACACAGTTCTATTAAACCAATACAAAAAACAATTATGTCTGTCACAAGTAACATTGTAATAATGACAATTGATCGTCTAGCTCGTTAAAAAAAGAAATCGACAAGATTATCAGTTACAGGGCGAGTGTTGTTGAAGAGAAGATCTATACCGACACGGACACCCCTTCGAGAAAATCAAAATTGACATTTCATGTTTTTTACAATCATTCGATTGCATTCTGAATATGTTAGAGTAAGATGATAAAGCAAAAGTAGAAATCTGAGAACAACAAACGGAATCGACGAGGTTGAAAGCAGTAAAGAAAATGTTAATTCAAAACCAGATATAATGTTAACTAGAAAGATCGGAAAAATCAATGGCTCAACGTAATCGATCAAATGATTGAACATTGAATGTATCTTTCATTCTCTCTTTGTTTTAAATCACTGTGTTGCGGCGCTATGCATCTGACAAAAATCTAATCATTGGCTCTCGTATTCAACTGTGAGAAAGATTCACTTGAGTAAGAGTTTGTTCGAACAAGGAAGGTGTATGAAAGAACATTCAAGATCATGATGGCTACTTTGTAATTTTTTTTTAACAATATTTAGGGTTTACCGAAACTCGTTTATTTGAACTTAAACAATGTTTACTATGAAACTAAACAAATCAATCATCAACATTGATCGTTAGACATCAAGCCGATACGCATAGTATCGAATGAATTTCTTGTGCTCGTTATTTCACGATTAAATCGACTGAAAATTAATTTTTATTTAGTTCAAAAACTTAAAATTGAAAATCTTTGGAAAAATTTAGCCAATTTAAATCGATTAACATTCGATATGTCATTAAATTTTTGTTTAAATTCGTTTTTATAGCTATTTCATTAGTATGCAATCTTGTTACATGTTACTCTTTTGAATGATTATTTTAATATCAAATATCAAAAAAAAAATCATTCGTTATGACTATTAACTGTCGATTGATCTTCGATTTTATCAGTTTCATCAAGAATTGCGCGCCCTCTGGCGTGTTTCTCTACTTGCATTCGTCCATTTTTCTCCAGGTATACTTCAACAAGACAGGTGCACAAACATCGTTGTTTACATAGCTTTCTTTATTTATTTGGTACAACAAACCAAGGACACTGTTTTTTTTCTCTCTTGAAAATTCAGAACCAGAACAAAATGGCCGATGTTATTGTGCGTGATAACATCAGTCAGTACGATTGGAATTCCACATCTTTATGTACTGTGTGCTTCTATGGATCTATCTGTCAGTTTACTACGGCTCACTATAGTATTTCGCTAGAGGCTCTCCTGTATATTTCTATCAAACCAGTACGAATGATTATAGGTGTACTTGTCTGTCTTTTTCTGGGCACAATATGTAACACTTTGTCGATCATCACATTTTGTCAGACACAAGTACGTGGAACGGGAAATAGTATATACCGATTATGGATCTCAATTATAGGACAAATTGGTACGATAGTACTTGCCATTCGTTTACTTCTTATTTTTGTGACAAAAAGTAGTCAAGTAGTGAGTTGTTTTGGTTTAGATTATCTCATTTCTGTTTTGATTCCACTTTATTATTCATTAACGGCATGTGTGATTGTTGAACGTACAGTAATTGCCTATATACATCTATTATTCAACAAAACGCGAAGTCGGAGTGTTGCCAAAACTATTATTCCAATATTAATCGTCTATCATTCTGTGATTGCTATTCATGAATTTTTTCAGCGTCATTTGCTTTCTGATCGTCAGTTTTCAGATCGCCTATGGTGTTCAGTACATCAGAACACCCGTTCTCTTCGTATTTATACTAAGATAACGAATATTGTTCATCTTCTATTCCCATACATCATCAATCTGATCACACCCATACTAATGCTTACTAAATTAACAAGAGACAAGGCAACAGTGAACGAGAATACCACGACATGGTCAAATTTCATAAATGTTTTACGCGTATATAAGAACAATGTGATCACTCCCTACATTATTGTTCTTTTGATAACACCTCGCATCGTTCTTACATTTTCTCTGACATGTATCATACATTCATGGCAGAACACACTGTATCTCGTCGCCTACTTTCTATCATTAGTGCCACTCATGACATCTGTTTTCATCTTTGTCTTTCCATCACCTCGATTTCGACAAGAACTTCAACAGATCTTTCAACGTGCCACTGGATATGTGTCCGTTCGGCAATACACATGACCATCACATTAGTATGTATCATCTGTATGTTATTTCTTTTTTTATCCTTTTCGTTAGATGGTTCCAACGATGTGCATTTCTATATCACAAGACGAAATAAAATAGTTTCAAGTATGTGATAGCGTTGTTCGGCCTAATCTAAAATTGTCTTATTGCTTATTTTCACTCACAAGTTTTGATTACAAAGATTAACTTAGTTCGAATAACAATCTTCAACTTGAAAGCTTCATTTCAAATCATAGATTTTCAATCTATGTCAGAGTCACATTCACAAATACTAATTCATTTATTCATTTAATTATTTCATTATATCGTAGGAAACGAATTGCAAACGATATTTTTGATAGAGAACAATTAATGTCTTTGTTCAGACTGGATCACCGATTAAAAAGAAACGTTCTATCCTGTTGAATCTAATCAAATTCAGGTGTTTATGTTGAACAAGCACAAACAATTTGAAAGAATGAGTCACAGATTCGCGATTGAACACCAGAAAAAAAAAAGAAAGATTCAATTTTTGATCGATCTGTGTTAATCATAGCTTCAAGCAGATGGAACTTGTCTACACTTCGACTATCTGTGATAGACCAACATTTTCTGAAGCGTACATGTCTATGATTTTGTTTTAATTTCGATTAATATCAGAGGAAGAATTCTGTTGTTAACAAGTACCAGTTGGGTGTGTGTGGGATATGTATTTTGGTCTATCCTTCATTTAGACCAGCACTCACACCCAAAGGGTGTGGGTGTGATTGTGGGTGCGTGTAGCGTGTGGGTGGGAGTGGGTGTGATATGTTAATGTGTTGGTTTTCTTTTCAACCAAACCCACTCACATCTACACTCATCAACAGCGACACCCGCGCCACACACCCACATCCATACCCACACCACACCCATTAAAGGGCCGGTATAATAAATCAATAGATTTATATTGATGATCTAAATTAACATATGTAACATTTAATCCTAAAAAAGCTTGTTTGTTGTGTTTGTTCAGCCAAAAATCAGATACAATTGTAACTGCTTTAGCATATAATGGTTCAACTAATTCTTCTTTTAAATTGATACGTCATTTAGCAGCTAGATCATCAACATTATGAGTAACTGTATGCCAACTTGGTAATAATTCTTTAGCATCTACAAGTCCATGTTCAGCGCTTAGAAAATGATAAGATACACGTAAAATTTCAGATTGTTGTAAGAGTGATATTCTTACCTATCATAATAAACATATTCGCTAAATGTTCAAAACCATAATCTTCTAATATTGTAAACGGCCTAAAATCTGTGCAAATCCATTGTGCATGAACTTCTTTTAATTCATTTTTTTGTTTAAATGTTAATTTAGCTTTTCGTCGAAAACCAACTTGATTTAATTTATATTGAACCAATTTTGAATCATTTCTTTCATCTGAAGCAGGATTTGAAGAAGATAATGGGAAGCATCGATCTGCATGTTCGATAAAGTGCTTTGTTCCACTTGCAGATTCATAACGAAATACGTGATAACACTTGAAACAGCTAATAAATCCATTAATTTGTTCTAATTCATTTTTTTTATTTTTTACAGTTACATATCCAAAAGAGCGCCACCAAGACGCTAATGGTTTCGTAGAGTTTTTATTATCAAGGCAAACACTCTGATCTTTTTTAAAGAAGAAATACTTTAGTTGTTCAAGAGTATAACAATTTGAAGAAGATGAAGTCAAGTCATTAACAAGACAATTTGTCGATGAATCTGATGTATCATTAAGATGAGTAGTAGATAGCAAGTAAATATCATCATCAGAACCAAATGATACGAAAGTCATAAGTTAAATTATTATTTTAATATGATAAAGCCAAGAGAATAAGATATACAAATATATTTTTTCGATACTTATTACATTTATTTTTTTTTATTTTCATCATTTTCAGTTGACTGTACATCTATAGAGGACAACTCTAAGTACTAGCTGGCACCGCCCTCTGTAATCTATTTTCGGTTTTTGACTCACAAAGAGCCGAAAAATTTTCTTTTTGAATATGAAAACTCAGATACTTGATTTTCAAATTTGCAGGGTATGAAGATCTCACCCTGTCCTGTTTCAGAGCAGGTGAAAAACGTTTTTTTACTCTGCCCTGTGAGCATCTCTGGTACGAATGAAGGAGAGGCAGAAGAAGAAAACAAGAAGACAGAAGAAATTAAAGAACAAGGAGAAAAAAACCAAGAAAATTAAAATAGTAGACAAAAAGATAAAAAGAGGCACACGGGTGTGAGATGTGAATGCAGAAGTTGCTAGTCATTACACTGGTACCTACACCCACACACTCACACCAACCTACCCTCACCCTCAAGATATTACAATTTCAATTGGCTTTTTCCCACCTGATACACATACATACAAATACAATTTTCTTTTTCAAACATTTTTTATAACATAAAAGAGAATAAATATATCAGATGAACAGCTTTTTATGTATTTTTTTGTTTTTAAGAAGAAAACTGAAAGCTAGCAAACAGTATTACATTCCGAAGGAATATCAAATATGCTTGGATCATCAATATTTGGTGCAAAATCTGTTGTTGTCACTGCAGTTAATATAGCTAAAATGGTCAAATACAAATTAATGCGTCTCTTAACTCAATAAATAGTTTTTTTACCAGGATTTTGAAGGAAAATATGTCCAGTCAATGGAACACAAAGACCATCACGACTAACCGTTGCATAATTAATCGTTTGATCGATTTTAACAAGCCATGTGTCACCAATAATTTGTTTATTATCATATCCATATGTGAATGAATGTAAGTAAGTTGCTGTATCTAAAGTAGAATTGAAGAGAATAGTCTTATTGTTATCAAGTTAAAAAGAACTAAATGAGCAATGTTCGAAGCATATCTACCTGGAATACAATGAAGTGGCTTTATTGGCATAGTTCCTTTGTAGCATCTTTTCGAATCTTGATCAATTGTATAAATTTGTCCATCATTCATATTTTCAATAATCCATAGATTTGATTTCTGTTGATCTGGTATTGAAAATGCTACACCTTTCATTCCGACCATACCACGATCCGCATCATATGAATAATTATAATATCCCTATTCGGTTCATAGATAATACTTCAGATGAAAGTATTTACAATAGCAATGACTTACATATATAGCAATTGTTGTACCATCCGGCAATTTCACGCCGTTTGATGTACTCATTTGTGAACTAAACTGCTTTGGTACACAACATCGTTTTGGTTCATTTGCTACGAGTGTTATTGGTTTACCATTTAAACCCACTATAAGAATAGCCATAGCGGCAATAACTGTGTAGTAGGACATATTTTCCTTTTCTATTTAAATGGTTCTGTATGTAATAATAAATGAAAAATGCGTTCTTATTTACACACGATTAAAAGATAAAAAAAAAAAAGGTAAATATTATCATAGTTTATGTTCTCTTTTCCTGCTAGTATCGTTGATATCTCATCACACCATATTTATTAAAAAAAACAACAATTGAATCATATATATATCTTTTACATAACGCATTTGCCGTCATTCAAAAGATTGTTCATAAAAAGTACAGCAGTTCACTATCGTAGAAACAAAGAATGAGAGCAGATATGTTAGCAACATCAACCATCTTCGGAAAGAAAAAGATTCGATATACCAGATTTAATTGAGTAGTGTTTGAGCTCCACTTTCTTTTACATTATGTGGGTGTGGGTGTGGTGGGTGTGTGAGTTCGTGTCAGTTGAGCTTTTCATGTTACACGCACCCACACCCACACCCAAAAAATATCAATGTCATATAAGTCGACCAAAAACAACAACAGATGATGAACGTTTAGATCTAGATGAAAAATACCTGGTTCGATTAAGTGATGAACAACTTGAAAAGGAATGAAATTATTTAAAAGATATTTTATTAGACAAACTTTATGATACTTATAAACTTCTAAGACAAATAGTATTAACATTAAAAACTCAACAGAATGATTTTTCATCAAATTATCTGTTTGAATTTGTTCGAATGACTCATAAAGATAATGATATTCTTCGACGATTAGAAAAATGTGAAATAAAAAATTTTCAACTATGTTATATTGATCATGTTATTGAAATTTATGGAGAATCAGGTAGTGGATTTCATCATTTATTTACAGACATGCCATCTTTACTTCGAGTTCATATTGATTCTCAATTAAACGATGAACTTGTTCGAAACCTCAATGAAAATATTATTAACATTGACTATAACAATAATGTTGATAAAATCCAAACAACAATCCAAACAATTACAACATTTCTTAATGAAATAAAAGACATTGAAGATGCATTTCTACAATAATTCACACAATCACTAACAGAAACATGTGGATTTTTAGCAATTGAAAATCCAATACTTTTATGGATACCTGATAAAATAAAATGTGAAAATTACGTCGATGTTTATATTCATTTAATACGTACAAGATCAAAACTTCAAGAACAAACAATGAAATTATGGAATGAAAGTTTTAATGCAGATGAATCACAAGAGAAACAAGGAAGTCTTTTTCAACAGTATCTAAATCCACACTATGATAAACAAATATCAAACGAAAATCAAAATACGAATCAATCAAACGATTGGCAACTTCCTGTAATCGACACAAATGACTCAACTTCTAATTTAACACATGAAGACAATTCAATTAATAATGAACAATCTGCACCACATCAACCTGCAATCAACTCGAATGATCTTCCAGATGAAAATATTCAATATACAGCTTTAATGACATTAAATTTCCAAGCATTTCCATGTATATCATCAAGCTTTTCTAAACAAATACACAAATATCGAGAAGAACCTTCGAAAGAACCAACAATTGTAACTAAACCACAAAAATATACTATTATACATCCAAATGGAGAATCGAAATCAGTTCTATGGAAGAGAGATAATATTTGTGCACAATTTAAAAAAATATTCGATGATAAAGAATATAACTATGACTTATATGTTATTGTGGACAAAAATGAAACGTTTTTATGATTTTACAAATAACAATTATCATTCAAACTAAAATTCATTTTCGAACATAAATAAAAGAATATTTAACTACATCCAAATGCAATGTTTCAAGTATTATTCATCATATTATTGATACTGAACAAGTTAAATCTTTATCACCAGATATTATGCTATGTTTCTTTGATGAATACGGTAAATGTATTGATGATGGAGCCATTAATAATCTTTGCAAACCAGATTGTAAGACAGTTTCAATTTTTGTAACTGAAGAAACATTAAATGGTAACACATTATACGAACTTGCTTTACAAGATAAAAAAAGGTAATTAAAAGAAAAAAGCTTGTTAGTGTAGTCTTTTTGTGGTTAAAATGTAGAACTCACATCGAAGATGGTATCAGTTCAAGTTTGTTAAGATTTAAACTGAATCGATGAATAAATTTTTTTAAAACTGTGCTAAGGATGACTAAAACAAAATAATTGTTAAATCGATTTGGTTCTCCTATTCCTAAGAATTTTCATTTAATATATATCAAAATATACTAGGGTGTCGATGTAAATGCTTATATGAATATCAATGCGAGTATGCAGATATTCACTCAAGCGAAATTCACATTCGCACCAGAGACTCAGTCATATTCCAGCCACGGAGCAGACTCATATAAAAATCCTATATTTTCAAGTTCAATAAAATCGTTGTATTTATTATGGGAGAACTATACATTTTGTGCTGATGTTGATTTTATTAGTTATCATAACACAGAAGTACTTAAATAGTCTTGTCCACACTAAAGATAAGATGCGTTTATTGTTGTCCAATTTTTTATAGACAAACAATTATAAGACATTTTACCGAAGTTTTCAATGCTCCTAAGGAGAACTTTTCTCATTCAATAAAGTGCTCAGATTTTAGAAAACTTATCTTAAAGTATTGACGAAACTCGGAAAAACAACTCCATATCTCTTTCCCTCTTTCGTAAACCTTTAAGTTTCGTATAAACACTTTTAAGCTCATCTGACTTTGCAACCGTTTTAAAGCATAAACCTAAACTAAAGATAAAAATTAGAAAAACGCAAATGCATCCGTCTGTAACGATTATGAACGATTGAAAGTTGTTGAAAACGTAGTGGTTGATATTTTAATTTCCTTTAATTATAGATGAAAATCAAATTATAAATCTGTTTTGTTCAACAACCAAATGGCAACAAATAAATCTTTGGTTAAAAACGCTCGCACATATAAATGAACCTTCAGTTAATGATTATACATTTTTCATGCGAGAAAAGAAAATAATCATTGATGAAAATCAAATTCTCTCATCGATAACAGATCAAACAGAATCAATAATAATCGATATTATTGATCGAAATACTTGGAGTAAAGTTATTTTAACCTTTGAGATCAATAATCAAACTATATCCGTATTAACATCAATGAAGATATATTCTTTATTAAATAACGAAAATATTCTTAAACAATTAAATTTAACTGATGTATCTTCTGATGATTGTATTCTTGTCTTGAGAGAAGCAAATGAAATTATTTTAACAAAAGATTATCATCAAAAACCTATCGGTAATTATTCAATTGTTAACAATGAACTAATTCATTTTCAAATATCAATCTCAGTTCAAATAACAAAATATGACAATAAAGAACCAATTAGAATACCTTTATCAAATAGAAATATAACAGTTGAACAATTGTTAAATTCAACAGAAAAATCAATCGATGTTTACAAATATTTGGCTACAAATGACACGAAAAGAATTGTTAATTCTAATGAAATACTTTCAAATTTAAATAAAACAAAATTTATTCTTGTTAAAGAAAATGAAACTTGTCTTCCATCGGTTAAGAAATCTAATAATTTACAATAAGTCAATAATCAAGAAGAAGAAAATGAGAAACTTCAACGATTTATCATTTTTGCTACTATAGCTGACATTATTAAGGAAAATCAAGCAGATCTTTTACATATCTTATGTATATAAATGATTTTGTTCCATCAAAAGATATTCAATTAATATCTTCTCAATCAGAATCACCAATTCAATTTACTATACTCGATCAAAATCTACCAGTTACTGTGACTATACAAAATCAGGAAGTAAATAAATTGATTCAATTTAATTGTGAACATTCGATTACTCTTCAACGTCTTTGTGAGATTGCATGTGAATTATGTTGTTTGAATAATAAACATTATTGTTTAACTATCGATGGCACTATTTCTTTAAAAGATATTACTGATGAAAATACGATTGAAATTAGTTTTCAATTGGTATCGACAGCGTCTCTCTATTGTTCGATCATGTATTGCAATCAAGTTATTAAATTGCCATGCTGTCAAGATACACTAATAATGACCATAATTAAAGAAGTACTACAGATATTAAATAAGTCAGAAGATATTATGAATATGTATGAATTGATAGCATTGGATGACGTATTGTTTCCTGGTGGTTCAACGACTACATCCTTTAAATTAAAGAACAAAAATGAATAAAATAAACAACTTACATTGCAAACAATATTCAAACTATGATTTGACTCATATTTAATCCAGAAAACTTTTAAACAGATTTGTGCTCCTTATTTCTAATAAACATGAACAAATTTTTCTCTTTTTAACCGAGCTCAAAACTTTTAAGGTCAAATAATTGTTAAAAAAATGGTTGTCCGTTAACGTTTTTTTTTCACAGTTCAAAATCTAAGGATGATCTTAATGTGTTTTGTATAGCACATATATGACCAAATTAGAGCAATCGATTGTGGATGTACGTGTGGGTGTAAAAAGTCATACTCAAACACTTTTGGTGCATTAATTAATGACAGATCTCTTTTGACGATCAGCTTATTGGTCAGTATACTCTATGCTATTAAAAAATGAAGAACGTAGAAATTCTACAAATTCAATTTCGGCCATATAACTATCGGCATTCTACCACGTTGACAATGTCACTCTCTAGGATATTTTCTTTCAATGATTCCTATTTCAGTCACTGAATCTATTCATGATACTCTCAGATGATATGCGAAGCATCAAAAAATTTTTGATACCATGGTTATTATATTTGTTGTATATAGCAATAACGGTGATGTACAGAATTAATGCTCAAGCTATCCTCCGATGAGTATTTCGACATGTTGATCTGAGCCTGCAATGGACATTGGCACTCTAGATCGAGTAGCCGGAAGGTCACTTTTTGATGGGTCGATAATAGTCGAAATATTTAACCTCATTGTACAATCTTCGAATAACTGGTATATACCAACTACTCTATCTGATATTTCGATACCCATCAGAGGGCCCCTCTCGAAAGGTTTTGAGAACACAGAATCTTTTGGTGTGTGGGTGTGAGTGTGCGTTGAAAGAGAACATACTCACATTCACACTCACACCCTGTTGCGGTCTGTGATAGTCTAGAAGGTTTTCGAGATACTAGTTTTTGATTCGGACAAGTACTTTGATAGACAGAATAAGGCTTCTTGGTCATGATTAAAGTGACTCCATCGTGTTTCAAATTTTTATTTGATAAAGAATGTACTAAAAGTATTCTGTTCTTGCCGTTCTTCTTTTTATGTGTTTCTTATCATTTCTTTTCTTTCTTTTAGTTATCACATAAGACACGATATGTCTCTACCATCAGATGATTTTGCTCGAAAGATATTCTTTGAGATTCACAATGGTTTACCGAGACAAGGTTCTGAAAGTACTCAATCAACTCTTCGAGCTCTACGCTCTGTCAGTTCGGGTCACAAACATCTAAACATACTAGATACTGAATGTGTTAGATTCTACTGGCACGAGCTAAACAAGAATGTCTTTAAGAGCGTATTACGGCATTAGTTAGCGAGGTATTTTGTCTGGCTAAATTCGTTGCTTCAAATACATTCGATGTGATTTGGTCGCAAGGTTCAGTTAACATTATTGGTTTCGAACGTGGTCTTACTAAATGGAAGAAATTCTTGAACAAAAATGATTATCTTGTCTGCTCTGAACTATCCTGATTAACTGAGAATCAACCATTCGAAGCTCATGACTTTTGGTCAAAACATTATTCAAATATGTATTCTTGTCAAGAAAATTGATAATTTCGTTTTAGCTGAAGACGACTGGTGGAATGAGTACTGTGGGCCGATGCAACAACGAATTCAAGAATTAAAAATGAAAAACAATGGACAGCAAGAAGCAGAAAGTGTGCTAGATGAACAATTAAGTGAAATTAATTTGTATAAAAAGTATTCGGAGAGTTATGAATAAGCATATCTCGGAGATGAAACATCAAATCGATTTTTTATTTTCATTAAAACATAATCTATGTGCTCTTTTCTCTTGTTATAAAAACACTTTTTGGATGCTGTTGAAATCCGACACACTGACGTGGAAGAAAAATCTCACCTTTTCCAAATGAATGATGGATGCGAAATATTTGTACTGAATTTGATGATGAATGTGCATGGTGAAAGCAATTTGTAGTTATTAAGAATTTAAGACTTTCTTAGTTCATTCGATACGAAACTGAATTAAGTGTAATTTGGAACCCTGACCTTTTCTTGTTTTTTCTAACAAAGATTTAAAATCATGATAATGACAACAAAAAGGTTAACACACGAAAGATAACACTGAGCGTGGCTGTCTTATCAAACTATTGAATGACTCATATCAAAAATGGTCATGTATGAAAGTAGCAAATGGGTATTTGTTCTGTCTATATCCACGCTTCACTCAGCAATGAGTGCATTGATGACAAAATCTCGCTCGACAACCAACGCCAACTACATACATCATGTTGAGCATTAGGAGCGACACTGGTAAAATCCGGAAGAATTGCTTGAAATGCTGTTCATATTCAGTTCGATATACTTTACATAGTTATTTTTTCTGAAACAGTTCCCATGCAAAATGGTTTTATCACCTTATTGGTTTACTCCATGTTTTTTTATTATTTTCTTATGACCTCTCAATACTCACGTCATGTTGAGTGGTTTTTTTCTCTTTCATAATTTCGTAAGAATACGATTGCGCAAGAGTCTACATATATATAGTGAATGTAACTTGAGATATGTTCTCACATACAATTTACTAGTGTGAGTCAATCTTTTATTTCTCTTCGACAACAAACAGTTGCCAATTATTCCGAAAACAATGTTGTTTTGTCTATTCGTTGTCAAGAAACTCAATGCTTTTTTAATGTCCATTTGAATTCTAGATATTTTAAATGTATAATTATTTTACTTTAATTCATTTATGAGCAGCAGTCGAACAAAATCAAAAACAAACGAAAACAATACCGAGTCCGTGTACAAGTAAGATGGAGAAAAAGATTTCTTTTCTTTCAAAGAAAATAAATAACAAAATATGATGCACTGTTGATCGATTCTCTTCTCCATTGATGTACAATGTGCTTTTGAAGTCTTGCATACGTTTTTATTGGTTACCATCTGTTATCGGTTTGAATTTTTTTGTACCCACAAAAATCTGTACTTCTGAAGTACACATTTTGCACATCTTAGGAGCTATTTTTTCATATAAATTCATAAAAAATTCTTGTTTCCTAAAGACATTAAAATATATTCTTATATGTTTTTTAAGTTGTTTGGCTGACTGGGTAGTCTTTGATGTTCTCTATATGAGAGACTTCGCCCTACTAACTCAATTCCTGTTTCTCGAGAGAAGCAGGCATTCAACTGATTTTTTTTCTTAATGAATATGTGTTAAAATAAGTCGATAGGCTACTAATGGACGATCGTTCTATTCTAGGAGTGATGTCAGCCAAAGTTCAAACGTGGGAGTGCCCTCAATGGAACCAAGTACGTATATTTAAAAAACAATACATTGAAATAATATACTAATGAATTGTTTCTCATGATAGACGGGATCATTGAGAGCAGTTGGACCGAACTGGTTCAGGAATTCGATCAGATGAACTTGCGCGAATCACTTTTACGTGGTATTTATTGTTTTGGTTTCGAAAGACCATCTGCTATTCAGCAGCGCGCAATTAAGCCGTGTATTTTAGGTAAGTAAAAGTATCGATCGAACATTGAATTAATTACCATTAATATTTTGCTCAGGGCACGATATAATTGCCCAGGCACAATCGGGTACGGGAAAGACGGCTACATTCACTATTTCGATTTTACAACGAATCGCCATGGAATTTAAAGATTGTCAAGCACTCATTTTGGCTCCTACACGAGAATTGGCTCAACAGGTATGACGCAGAAATATTTTCCATAACGAAAGTCGATTTCTCTCCGGATGTAGATCCAAAAAGTGGTGTTAGCACTTGGCGATTACATGAACATTACATGCCATGCTTGTATCGGTGGTAACAGGGTTAATGACGACATCAGACGACTTGAATCAGGCGTACAAGTTGTTGTGGGAACACCTGGTCGTGTCTATGATATGCTTCAAAGAAGGGTTCTTCGTAAGTCGTTAATATTTGATATTGATCTTAGTTGTTTGATGATAAATTTCTTCAGAAAGCAAGAATATCAAAATTCTTGTCTTGGATGAAGCTGATGAAATGCTTAAAGAAGGATTCAAAGAACAAATTTACAACATCTTCATGTTAATGCCGGAAAATATTCAGGTATGACAGAAATGGTGCTTTCATTTTTAAGATGTTTTACCTCTCATTAGACTATTCTTCTATCGGCTACTATGCCTAGCGACATTCTCGAAGTTACAACTAAATTCATGACTGATCCGATTAAAATTCTCGTCAAAAAAGAAGAATTGACACTTGATGGTATTCAGCAATTTTACATCGATGTTCACCGTGAAGTAAGTGTTCAATAGTCATTAGCCAATGTTATTATTCAATATACTGACCATATATGAATTTATCATGTTTAGGATTACAAATTTGATACGCTTTGTGATCTCTACGCAACAATGTCCATTACGAAAGCTGTCATCTTTTGTAATACTCGTCGAAAAGTCGAAATTTTAACAAAAAACATGACCGACCGTGATTTCACTGTATCGGCTATAGTAAGTTTCTGAACGTCGCATTTAAGCAAATACTTGTATGATCAATTTTACCCAGCATGCACATTTTCTATTGAGAATATATTGGATTTGATAAGTGTTCATTCACAGTCGATTTTTTGTTCGTTTAGAGCGGTAACATGGACCAGAAACAGCGTGATGTCATCATGAAGGAATTTCGTTCCGGTTCCAGTCGAGTATTGATCGCAACCGATTTATTGGCACGTGGTATCGACGTCCAACAAGTCAG